AGGTAATTGTGCAAAGCACCATTCATGTTGGTATTTTCTATAATATTATTGTTCATGAAGTCTGATGGCAAGAATCTAGTGTTGAACCTGTCACAACACAAAGAGCCTTAGAGCTGTTTCTAGTAGTAATATTGTGCTTATCAAGTAGAGGCGATTTTTAATTAATCTGAGCAAGTGCTAGTGTGAGAGTAGATGAGGGGTTATCTATGCTCTCGTGGCCATATAAACCACAAATTAGCCTAATGATGCAGTTGTAGAAATATTTGATTCTTAATGAACTTGGATTGAGTGAGAAGAGGAGTTAGTCTAGGATTGAGCTACTGAGGGGTGGGAGATAAGATAAAACTTAGCCAAGAGAGATATAAGGGAGGGGAGAGGAGAGAAAGGGAGGCTTGTGGCCATGCCAGGAGAAGTGTGGTTTGCTTGCAAAGCTTGTTTTATTCATATTCATAAGCATTTTTAAAATGTTTGCATGCATCCACTATTTATCGAGTGGACTTTAAAAGAAAAAGAAAGAAATAAACATGGAAAACTGTCAAAAGAGATCATCCAAAAACAAGACTTCATGGAAGGAAACCTCTTAAATAAAGAAAAGCATCAGAAGGTAGCCTCAAAATAAAAAGTTTTCATTGAGGGAATTCTCTCAAATAAGAAAACGTTGATTACTTTTTTTTTTAAACTAAAATTAGATTGTGAAAACCAAAGGCTTGAGATAGTGATTTGACCACAAATAAGAAAACATTGATTACTTTTTTTTTTAAATAAAATTAGATTGCCGTAAACCAAAAGCTTGAGATAGTGTTTTGGCCGAGAGCTAAAAGTTGAAGGGAGATGGGTATGATGTTGATAAAGAGGGGAGATAACTATGGTTGATTAGTCTCTTAAAAAAAAAGTAAGCAAGTAAAGGGGTTTGTAATTCTCACTTAAGTAAGGGTGTCAATTTTTGATCCGACCCGAAACTCGACCTTGACCCGACCTGAAAAAATCCGGGTTCGGGTCGACCCGTTTATGAAACGGTTCGTGTTCGGGTTCAACAAATTGACCCGTTTAAAAAATCGGGTCGGGTTCAGGTTGACCCGTCAATGCGAAAATGACCTGGAAACCCTCTCCTGCGTCTGTTGCCCGCCCTGCTTGAAGCATCGAGTGCCCGTTTGCCTGGCTGCCCGCGTTGCCCGAAGTATCGAGTCGTAGTCGTTTCGCATGTTGCGTCAGCGTCACTTCGCGTGCTGCATTGTTGCGTTGCTTCGCACGCTGCGTCGGCACATCGTTGCGTGTTCGCCTGCTCGGGTTGCTGCGGGTTCGGGTCGCTGCGTCGCTGCGCGTGCTGCCGCTGCGCCTCTTCGCGTGCTGCTGCTGCTGCCTGCTGCTGGCGCTGCGCCGCCGAAGGAAGCGACCGGAACTGGAAGTAGCCTGACAACCCGCGTGTTTTTCAATTTATTTTCAAAAATGCGAGTAGGGTCGTGTCAACCTAGCAACCCGCGCGGGTCGGGTCCGGGTTGAAAAAGCCGACCCGTTTGCAAAAATGGGTCGGGTTCGGGTTGACTTGTTTAGAATCGTGTCAACTTGGGTTCGAGCCGAACCCGACCCGTTGACCCGATTGACACCCCTACATTTAAGTATTCCAAGGGAGAAGAATAATACCGAGCAAATTCAAGAAGGTCACTAAACCATCCTTCAAACATTTGAACAGAAATACATATTATTTCATTTTAACATGTGATGAATTCCTTTTACATGACATTTACTTATATAGAGAAAAATCTAGGCTAGTTTCAAGGGTAAACTCCCATAGCTTTTATGGAAGGCTTTGAACCAATTATAGCAAATCACATAGATTCGTAAGACATGGCAAGACAAGGCGTTAAATGTCTATTATAATTAACGAAAGAGAGTGAAACAAATATTAAAGCGAATAATACATTATATTTATGTAAATTTTGGCCAAGGCTTTTTTTGAAAGAAGTGTCTTACCAAATCATTACACATTACTTCATCATGAAGGTAGGGGGAGTTTAAGCCTTTAAATTCAAGTGGAGTGATCCTTTGAATAAGTGCATGTTCAAATCCTTGATAGGAGGGGCTGGCTAAAGACTTTTTCATCTTGATTGGAGCTTAAGTTGCTTAATATTGATCATCATAATGTTTATTTTTGATGGTGGTGGCTGGAGATGCAACCCTCCATTAGGCCCTTAAGCTTGATCTTGACATTCCTCATGTAGTTGAACCTTGTGTATTTGATCTTTATCATGTTGTTGCTTGATGTTTGTTTGATATTTGCTCTGCATCATCTGTACCACGCCTTCAAGAACTTTCTTTGCTCCTCAGAGTTTTGTTGTCTGCTCAAGAACTATCTTGCTTGAATGAACAATAATCAAACAAGGTTTAGAAGAACGGCTTGTCCAACTTTGGCTGGACCTGTCCTACAAGGAGGTTAACTTGAATAGATTTGCTATGATTTGCTACTATTGTAGAGCTTCAGAAAAACTCTGATTATCATTTGTGGATTTAGGAGGTGTTTTTTATTATTTTGAAGTGAGCTAAGGAGTGATTTCTGTTGTTGGTGGAGGAGATAACGTAGCAAGATTTTGTAGGAGGATGAATTTTTAAGGTCTTTAAGTGTTGATGTTAGGCTTTTGTGGGTATTAGCATAGGAATGTCTTGTGCTAAGAATTCATTTAGTTAATTATTGTCTTTGTTGATGTTGTCATAGTCATGCCAAGTTGCAAGTGGTATATTGTAATGCACCTTGTTGCATCATGATGATCCACAAAATTATGATTATAAAAAAGAAAAAATTGTAGGTCTTAAGCTTTTAATCAATCAAATAATGAAAATAGAAATCAAGTAAATCCTTACCAACGTTATCGTTAATGGGAACTCTCCATAAGTTGAAGCCCAATGTTTCCTGTCTTGATGCACTCAAAATTTCTCCAAGGTATGGCTTTAATACCAAAATGAAAGATAAAAATGATAGGATTTCCTTTTATTTTTGGATGGAGGGATGGTATTATGATGTTAATTGGAGTATTTTGGAGAGGGAGGATGATTGTAGTCTGTGAAAAGCTTAAAATTTTGGTTTGCTCGAGAGCTATACAAGGTGTAGGGAGATTTTTTATATGTTGGCAAAAAGTTTGATAATTATGGCCTTACCAAAGAATGATAAGAAACCATATGGGGTTCTGAAATCACAAAAGAATTCCAGCAGAGTAAAAAACTCCAAGGAGAAGATCACCAAATCAACTTTCAAGCACTTGAACGCAAGCACGCATAATGTTATTTTAACTATTTGTGAATCTCTCTTATATGGGCTTGCTTATATAGGGGAAAACTAAAGCTAACATCAGTCGTGCTCACTAATAACCTATCATAAAATTTTTTTGGGCCAATTACAATACATTATATGGATTCCTAAGGTGTGGAGACATTGCTATTATTATTTAGGAAAAGGATTGACGTTAAATTTAAATAAAATGACAAAATGTAATTATTCCAATTAATTTGAAGATTATTTTTGATGTTGAATGGTTCTAATTTATCACATGTTGTTTCATTATATAAAGAGTGAATGTCCAAGCTATGGATGCATGGTGGAGTGATCCTTTGAATGTGAACTTGTTTACTTTCTTGATTAGTGGGGCTAACCAAATTCTTGTGCATTTTGATTAGAGCTAGTCTTGCTTGGGATTAGTCATAATGCTGATTTGTGAAGGTGGCGACCGACCATGGAAATTGAGCTTACAAATCCAACCCTCCATTGTGTTTCCAAGTTTGATGTTGACCTTATTCATGTAATTAATGATTTTAAATTTGATTTTCATAACCATGCCTTTGCTTGATTTTTGTTCTTTATGCTACATCAATGTCTCTCCTAGGGGCATTGATGTGGACTCCCTTTCGGCAAAGCAGAGAGAGAGAGAGAGAAATAAGACAAATCATGAAGGAGGGTTTCTATGGTATTAGGTTTCATATTTTTCTCTTATTTATTTAATTATCTTATTTTTCCATTATTTTCATTTTTTAAGTTTATTTCTCCTTCTTTTTGTAAACATAATTGTGTACAATTGTTTTGGGAATAAAGGGACTGGGAGAATTAATTTTGGATAGGAAAAAGATCAAGAATGTGAATTTGTTGGAAAAATCAAAGAAGCGAAGAATTTCGCTCACTTTGTTCTTATACAAAATGATGTGTGGTGGAATGATGAAGGATGGGATATGCTCAAATATTAACCGATGTGAAGTTATATGTTGAAAGATGGATTATTTTTGGTACTAGTTAATGAAGTATGGATACAAGAGATAATTGCAGGAGAATGATTGGATAATGCAGGCCTAAAAAGACACACCATTTGGAGAAAGAGAGCATGTAATTTTATGGGTTGAAAAATAGATATTTCTCATGGGTTCAATGGAAGGCAAACAAATACATAACATTTATCCTTTGAACACTTTATGGGTAGAGGGGTTGTACTATCTTGAAAGATAAAATATAATTCACTCTACATACTGAAAAAATAAACGCGCAGGTGCGCGCATATATATATATATATGTCATATAAATTTTAAAGATACAAAATTCGGCCAAAATATCTATTGGTCTTAAAAGTCTTGAAAATGGTTTGGTTTAGCTCATTTGTAGGCAAGAAGTCCTATTGCTTTTCCTATGAAAAATTGGCCCTATTTATGCTAATTTTGCTGAATGGTCTCTAGTGGACAGCACCACCTATATTTTTTGGATGCTTTTTGCTTAGTTCAACCTTTTTAGGTCTTTTTTCATATGCTTGCTTTCTTTTATACTTTTGATGATTGATTTCTGCGTTGAATCCAAGATATTTATGAAGTTATATTTTTTTATGGCCAAGGCTTTTCAAGATGGTTTTAATTTGGTCTGTCATGCACAATTTATTCATTAAATTAAAAATTTTACTTATACATTACACAGGTTGTTTGCTAGTTACATACTTATGCTTATTTGATGATGTCTATTAACTTATTGGTTTTAGGTTACTTGTGGGGTTAGAGGTGACCTTGGCCCGGCATGCAACTCTGCTGGAATGATTGATCGTTATGTCCTTGGCATTGAACACCTGTACAAGAAATCAGCCTACAGAAATCTAAAGGTCTATTCATTGACATCTTAGGGTTCAGTTATTGCCTACGTAATTTCTGATTTTAGTGTGTTGTCCTCACTGCTAGGTTTGTCAGAATACTGATGGTGGTGGCTTCTCAGATAACCTGCCTTCATGGTGCCAAGCACCATTTGACCCTGAAGGGATTTTAGGGTAAAGTTGTTCTTTTTGTTTTCCTCATTTTTCTCCTAATTTTAGTTGCACAGGGTTTATTCGTATGATGAGGACATCGTCAGGGATTTCGACATGTGTACCATCGGAGACGCCGGAGATCGACGGCCACGATCAGGAGTTTATATTTTGAGTCATTTTATGTAGTAGTTTATTTTATTTTTTTTCAGTTTTTACTGTTTTACCCTTATGGGTGGTCATTTGATATTGTAGCCCCGAGGGCATTTATGTCTTTTAGTTTTTGTTTCATTTTGGCCTATTTATAGGAGGCCTCATGTATTGTACTAGAGGATGAATATTGATATGAAATTTCAACTTTGGTTTTGGATCTCTTTGTGAGTTCTCGAGTGAGGATTAGCCTAGGAGAGGCTCAAAGCAATACCCAACAGCCCCTTGGTGAAGCTCTTGTTTCTATCAAATTTTCTTCTTCTTCCTTCTCCCATAGCTGCCGGATTTTAACCACCACCCCACCACTTGGCCGACCAACCACCCGCTCCCTCCCTTGCTGTTAACCCCTAGATCCCATCCCTTTCCATTCCCGTCCGGCCGCACCACCCCACCGCCGTCCTCCTGAGCCCATACCTGCAGCCGCTGGCCAACCAAGGAGCCCCACCCGCCGGCCTAAGCTAGTGGCCACCTCAACCCAACGCCAAACCTCCATGTTTCCCCTTGACCACCGGCCCCCTTCCACCTCCCACATCTTTATGACGATTCCAATCATCATAATGACTCCCTAATTTGGGTTCTTCTCCCCCTTATCAAACCGCCGGCCTCATGTTTGGCTCCCCCCCAATTAACCTCCCATCAATGCATTAATTAATTCCCTCCAAAACTAATCAAAATCTGAAATCAATTTCAGTTTTGAATTAAACCCCACCTCTTCTAGCCATCCCCAACCCTCTCCCCCTCTAGTCAAACCGCTGGCCCCCTCTCTCCAACCCTAACCGTCCCCTCTCTGGTGCCCCTACCTTCTTGAGAAACCCTAGTTCTCTCATGACACTTAAAGCCAAGAGAAGAAGACAATCTTTCCTCCCAACCTCGTCATTGGTGCATGGCCAATCCGGAAGTCGAACATGGTTTCTTATTGGATGATGAAGGACGAACCAACATCCTCGAATCTCCTTCTCTTTGTTGCATCCAGTTTGTGCTAGTACCTTCCATCGAGGAGCATATTCCTCCTGGACGTTGGATACTCACTAGTCATCCCGTGGACTCCCCGCCGCCGGCTACCTCTCCAACGGACTATATCTTGGGCACCAGTCGTCTCCTAGTGGCATTGCTCGGTTTGCTCTCAATCTTCCTCCATTAAAGCCCCACCGTCAAGAGCGTGAGTGAGGGACCCAAGGTGAAAAGTTCTATTTGTTAACCGTGGATTATTGTTTCTTGCCATAAAATTACTCTCATTGTCCCGTTAATCTAATTGTAACTACAAGCCCTGCTTAGTCTCTAATTGATAACTCTGAGAACCTAACTTGGGTAAGCACTAAATTTATAATTAGCAAAGTTTTAATAATCTGATATTAAAATCTCCAAGCAGTTATTGTTTCCATGCATATGTTTTACATCATCTTAATTCCTATAGAGAGAGAACTCATTATTTCTTAACTGTATTGAAGCTTGCTTTAAATTGATTAGAACACAAATGAAACTTTTTTCGGGCTGTGGGAAAACAAAAATTCACAGCTCGTGCTGCAATTAGATCCTTTCTTCCTTGTTTTTGTTGTTGTTGTCGTCGAGAGAGGGAATGTAGAGATGGGGTGCCAATTGATCGACGATAAGACTGGGCGGTTGAGAGGGAGGAAAGGTTAGGAGATGGAGAAGTTGAGTATGAGAGATAAAAGCGAGAGATTGAGAGATCAAGGGATGCAAAAGAGCAGGATCCGAGTAAAGGGAGGGATGAGAGGGAGGAGAATAATGTGGGGCAAGAAAATGGTTGGGCTAGAGTGGGAGGAGGATACTGCAGGAAATCTCATGAGTTCATTTCATTCAATACTCCTTAGACATTTTGAAACTACCTTTAAGGAACCTTTATGAAGAATATATTCATTTTTTATGGTGCCCAAAGTATCCTATGTAATGCTTTGGATACCTTAAAAAAGGAATGAGAGGGGAGAGGGGGAGAATAATGTAGGGCAAGATAATGGTTGGGTTAGAGTGGGAGAGGGAGGAGGATAATGCTGGAAATCTAACGAGTTCATTTCATTCAATACTCATCAGGCATTTTGAAACTACCTTTAAAGAACCTTTATAAAGAATATATTCCTTTTTATGGTGTTCAAAGTATCCTATGCAATACAAACAATGACCATTATATCCATGCCACAAATGATGATACAAACTAAATATGGATATTTATCATTGCTTGGTGCTTGTAGGCTTGTTGAAGGAAGTGAAACTGATGATTTAATTCATCATGCCTTTAGCAACGATGCCTAATTTGGCTTGATGCTTTCTTAAAAAATGATAATTTCTTTGATCTTGCCCTGATTTGTGGATCAATTAAAAATCTCTCCTTGATCTGGGCTATTTGAGCTTATCAAATTGGAGAAGCTTAGATCCTTACAACTCTTGCCATGAACTTACTATTTGGGCATCCTCTTTCTATGATCATTTTATTGCTTGGTCAGTAAGGAGAGATGTTAATAACTCGGTAATGTTTGGACATGTGAGTCTGATATATATGCTCACTCGATTTTTAAACTTTTTAAGCAATGAGGAATTTAAAAATTTTTAGGTTGATTTGTTGAAGCTTGCAAATTTGAGAATCTTGCTTGACTTACAAAAATTTGGTGAATTAAAGAGTTGATATTTCAACAGATAGCTAGTAGGTCATACAAGTGAACTTGTACCTCGTGAGCTACAACAATGAAGGCCTGCCTAAGGATCATCAACCCCAACATAGCAAATTAGTTAGAGGGGAGTGTCCTCCCATCATCCCATTATACTATTGAGAGCTTTAATTTTAAAAATTTGTCCTCAAGGGTTCTATCTTAAGGAACATGATATGCATAAATGTTATATGCCCTTAAGTGTGAGAGATATCTACATGCATGATGATTGACCATGTTATAAATGTGCAATAGCACTTGAGGGTATTGATTGGTAGAAAGTTCTATTTTGTACTTCATCCGTGAGATATGAAAAAATATATTTTCTTAATTAAAGTGGCTAATGAGAGCCTTAATTTTAAGAATTGAATAGTTCTATTATGTACCCCATCCTCGCTGAGTCGAGATGATGGGCATGAGTATATTCATTTTTCTGGAGCGGCAATGTGCTTCTTGCCTTTATATACCTTTGCTTGTGCAAGGCAGTGTCAATGATGTTTTGGATGAGATGAGATGAGTCCAAATACATAAACATTTTTTTAAATTCTCTTTCTTTTTTTGCTTTCTTCTTTTTGTGCTTTGCACTTTTTTTAAAGCAACTTTTCTTCATTTTCTTAGAATGGAAAGCGGAAGAGTGAGAGAAATGACGAGAGAGAGTGGTAGGAAGAACATAGAGAGAGATTCGACTGAGGAAGAGAGATTAAAAGATGGATAGAGAAAGAGAGGCAAAGGTTTAGGGAGAGAGGAAGAAGGGGAAAGAGGTGAGTAGAAAGAGATTGTAGTTAATTGGCTACTATCACCATTGAGGAAGGCGATCTTTATTCGTGTTTGATGATGATTGGGTTTGTTGAGTGGAGAAGAGGTGCAAGAGATATAGAGGTGGCTATGTGGGGTTGTGGAGGTGTTGGGTTGCCAATGAGTACTTTCAGTTTTGATTTTTATTGGGAAGGTGTTGGTGGTTGGGGAAGAATGGCTTGTAGAAGTGATTTCATGCAAGGAGGGTTGAAGAGGGTTAGCAATGAAGGGGTTATTGGACCGGTAGTTGGATATTTTCTTGCATCAAGCTTGGGGTCAGGTGTGTGAATGTGAGATGTATGCGAAGAGAAGTTCGTCGTATTTGAGAGGTGGGAGATTAAGACGGGCATGCAAGGGTTAGATGCTTGTGAGAAATAAGGAGGAGACAAGTGCAAGAGATTTGTGTGAGGCAGTGAGGGTAGCAACTTGGGCCATATGAAGAGGTTGTGATCAAACTTGCAACTGGGAGGATGTCATGTTAGAGAGAATAAAAAGAGAAAGGAGGTGACTCAGGGTCTGTTCAGTGTCTTTTTAGGGAGAGGGGCCAAGTATTTTTTCAGTTTTAATTATTTTCTTTTTTTAATTTAATCCATCGGATTGGAAAAAGCTTGGTTGGTTACA